TATATATATATATATTCCATCACATAAATATTACAAGTAATTAATTTTTTTTGTTATATGGTGATGAATTATCAAAAGTTAAGAAGAAATTATTAGAAAGAAGTTGAATCCATATATATGTTCCTTGCTATATGCGTGGTTCGCCTTCCGTGCTCTTAATGCTTACCATTCACAAATCACAACCAACCCCTTCAATTCATTCATTTTCTCTTCCTTACTTGTTTCCCTTATCTCTCACTCCCCACACATATTTAATCATCCTACACCCTTTATTCCTCCACACTAAGTATCTTTCACTTTCATTTTTTGTGCATTCTTCTCTTTCAAAACAAGTGCAACAAGGTTTGCATTTCTTCCTCCCTCTTTCTATAATTTTTTTCACTTGTATTTTTCATTTTTTTTTTTGTGATGCACTGCTTAATTAGTGTTTGAATTTGAGCAGAATTAATCAGCAAAGATGGTGATGATGGGTCTTGGAAGGCTGGTGGTGAGTCTAAAATCCAAAATAAGGTCTTTGAAACTGAAGAAACCTTACTATGATAAGATGGAGAAGAGTGAGAGCATGAGAGTAGAGATAAGAAGCAAAAAGGCCAGAAAGCTTATTGAAGAGACCCTCAAAATTGCTGATTCACCAAAGTCTAGAACCTTCACCCTATGATGCTATTATGCACATGCTACCTTACAATGTTCAGTGTATGTACTAGTAAAAAACTCTTCACTAATTAATTATGGTTCTGTTCTTTTATATAGTTTCTGTTTGAATTTCAACGAGGTACTCTAATTAGTCAGCTTTATCTCTCATGCATCCCACCAAGAACTCAAAGGCCACCATGTGCTAATTATGTTGTGTATAAGTCTAGAACTTTGTTCTAATCTTAGATTGGTGTGAAGCATGCAAGGACTTTGAAGAACTTGTATGAGTTTGTTTTTTTGAGGCCATTTGGTTAGATACAAATGGAAATGAAAAGTAAAAATTAAAGACGGGGAAATATCTAAGTTTATTGTGTGAGAGTTAGATTTTCACTGAAGCTGCTTTCGTTTTCAAATTTATTGCTATGAACACCAGGTCTGTTTTTGGGTGGACCATCCAATAGAAGTGTGCAGGGCAATTATGTCACATTCACTTTTGTTTTTGTTCTATTGGTTTTACTGAATAGGGGGATTTTTAGTATTTTGAAAATAAACAGTGTAATATATACGTGCAATTTTGTGGACTTTAAAATTTAATGGCTGAGAATTTTCTTGGTCAGATTGAGTAGTGTTTAGGGATGAGATTCAATGACGAGGAAAAGAATATCCTATACAGGAGTAGATTCTCAATCTCTGCTGCTTTGTTAGGATATGATTAATATAGAGTGTGTTTAATTTAAAAATTATTTTTTTAATAAAAAATTCTCTATACTTTTATACATGTTCATAATATAAAGAGTTTCATAATAATAATAAAAAGAATTCAGGTTAGGACATATTTTTTTACAGCATGAGTTCAGGAATCAGGATATTGTTATTTATTATAAATTGTCATGCATTAAACATTATAAATTTTTATACTTACTTAAAAATAAAAAAGATAATTTTTAATATAGTGCTTTGCAGGATTCTTTTACAGTTATATATGGACAAAGCTTTTAATCTCTCTTATTAATATATTTTAATCGATAAATATCAACGTGTGTATTACATTTTATCCAATTTAGATGAAAATAAAATATTTGTAGTTTTTTCAATTTTATTTTGAAGAGATTACAGACTATGCTTTTGAAATGTAATTTTTTAAAGTGTAAAACGTTAAAGTTAATACATTAAAATCATTTCAAATAAAATTTTCATATGCATATACAAATAAATTATAGTTTCTTCAAATTAATTTATGGGTATAACATTAACATCTATGTGAATGATGCACGATACTGGGGTTAGTAATTTTTTTAATCAGTTTATTTATTTATTTTTGCTAACGTCCAACTAATAGATAAGATAACCCATCAAAGTGAACCACCAATTTCCTAACGGAAAATTATATGGTCTCAATTAATATATATATATATATATATATATATATATATATATATATATATATATATTAAGAGTAAAATAATTTTTTTTATTAAATCATGCTCAGTAAAATACAAAATATACCTATAAAAATATCAAAAATAAAATCAATTAATAGTTACAAGTCGGTTCACCCGTGTCTTACACAAAATTTTCTTGATTTTTTTTTCTGTACATGTTGAGAATAAGTTTATTATAAATATTTTTTATTAATTTTTTACAACATTTTTGAAGGATGATTAAAATATTAGTTTTTTAATCAAATTTAATTAATGTTATTTTTTTTTGTTAATATGCGTCAATTTTTAATGTAATAACAAATATTTTAATAACTAATATTTTTATGTGAATTTCATAATTACTTTTATTTAAAAATTGTAATAATTTAAAATTAATGTAATAATGTTTTATGATACCATTATATTTTGTTATATTAATGTATTAATATATTATATAATCAATAGAATATCAATTTAATTTATAAAATTTGTGTATAAAAAATTGTTGGAGAGAATTTTTGGAAGGAAAAATTATTGTAGTTGTTTCCTTGATTTTATCATCACAAATTAATATACATAATATAATAATGAATATTTTTACGAATTAATGTTTTATGTGAATTTTATAATTACTTTTATGTTAAAACCACAATAATTTAAAATTAATGTAATTAATATTTTATGATATCATCATAATTTTTTTTATATTAATCTATTATTATATTATTTAATTGCATAAATAATATAATTTGAATTTTATTGTATAAAATTTGTGTACATAAAATTATTAGAGAAAAGTTTGAGAGAAAAAATAATTGTTAGAGACGTTATTCTTTTTTATATATATAGTATATATATTAATAAGTGAGTTACCAAACAAATTGAGAAATTTCCATTGTGGTGGGAAGGTTGAGAAATTGATAACAAGAAAGTACCTGTTAACGAAGTGAGAATGTGGGGACTGCCTGAAACAAAGACAACAAAATACTCCTTCCCACTTCTTAAATTTCTTTTTTCTCAATCATTTGATTTTTTCATTTTTTTTAATTGATAATATTTCATTCTATTTTTTTTTTAAAAGGTTAAGATTTTAATTTAAAATATTAATATTAATTGTAATCGTTCATGTTCATGGTGAATAAAAAAGTAATATGCATTGTAATAATTTATATTTTCAATCTTTTTTAACAATTATTTAATAAATAAGTTTCAAGTAGAATAACAATGGATAAACGACATTTCATAGTGCCAACGGCGTTATATCTAGCGAAAAGAATTAATCTCACCCACAATTTTGCAAACTTAGATTTAATCCCCATTTAGAAAAATGTTCACATTTAGTGTCTAATAATGTCTCAAACATTATTTTTTTTAGGAAGGATATATGTAAAAAGTCAAAAAATAAAATAAAATTCAAATGATACCGATGCATTAATTTAGAAAATATGTCAACTAAATACATAACATGAAAAGTGTATTAAATTAAGAATAAAACTTGCAGTTATATATATATATAT